GTAACAGCTTGATCGTGTGTGTGTGTGTGTGTGTGTGTGTGTGTGTGTGTGTGTGTGTGATTACCACTACCGCCCACATTTAAAATCTGAAGCAATAACAATGGGAAAGTTCTATGAAAGTCTATAGGTCCATTTATTTTTGTTATCCTGTTTGTTGTTGCTGAAAAACTATAGGTCTTTTAGATGGCTTTGCTACAGGATTAGAGATACCAGTTGTACATATCTATCAGGCCTAAAATGTGTTTTGTTATTCTGCTGGTCAAATCCAAAGAAAGAAATAACAAGTTTGCAGGCCATGGTGACACAAGCAGAGACTAGAGGATCTCTTATAAGTTCCAAGCCAGACAGGGCTGCTTAGTGAGACCCAGTCTCCAAAAACCAGGAAAACAGAAAGAAAGAGAGAGAGAAAGAGAGGCGTGTAGCTCAGTAAAAGAATATCTGCCAGCCATGAATGGGGCCCTGGGTTCAATGCCCAGCTCTACTATTATTATTATTATTATTATTATTATTATTATCATCATTATCATTATCATCATTATCATTATCATCATTATCATTATCATCATCATCATCAGTGGCAAAAGTTAAAGAAAGATTTTAAAATTGGACAAAAACATTTATTCAATTTGAAAGATGAAAGAGAAATAAAATGAAACAATTCTCCTACATAACTGCAGAAACTTAAAATTAGGGACCTTTTTTTAAACCTGGAAATAGGAGGTTTGCGCACAACTGAGGGAGAGTTCATTGAATGAATCCCATTTGTGTACAAGCTATGACTTAATCACTCCAGAAGTGACAGGTGTGGAGGTTTAGTAGACCTTTGGAGACCATGGGAATGCAAGCTAACAGATAAAGATTCTTTTATCTTTTCAGAAAGATATCCATTCAGTGGCCCCATGAGCAGATTCATCCCTTGGTTAAAGTGGGGACTTCCTGCTCATCCTTCCTCCCCAACTCTATCCCAGGATCATTCACTTCAGGGTATAGTTTGCTTCCCACATACACCAACCTGAGAGCCCCCTTGAGGGATGAGAGTTTATTTCTATTTTCCTTGAAGCCCCTGCCTAGCACCTGGCACAAAGGAGGAGCAATCAATCCAGTAGGGAACTTGGTTATGGCCTGACCCAATAGGGCAAAGTTCTTTTCCAGCCTCCTTATCCATGCATGAACCATGACTACTGAGGTTTCCTCTGGGCTTTGGAGCACAGCCAGTTAGTGTAGGAAGTCAGCCAAAGCACAGACTTTGAAGCTCAACAAGCCCAGACCTGAACACCAGTTCTACCACTCCCTAGCTGGGACCTTCTTGGTCCCCTCTGGAAGTAGACCTCCCATCCAGAAAGATGGGATGATGTCTGCCTTTCTTTGATGGCCAGTAATAGAAACTAAGGAATTGGGAACTGCATTATGAATTCTTTTTAATTGACTTTTATTATTTTAATTATGTGTGTATGTGGAGGGGGACATGCTGTGAGTACAGGTACCCACAGAGGCCAGAGACATCAAATCCCTCTAGATCTGGAGTTACAGGCAATTGTGAGCTAGGAATTGAACCTTGATCCTCTATAAGAGCAGCAGGTGATCATAACCAAACCATCTCTCTGGCCCTTATTACGCTAAAGGGCTTAATCTAATGCAAAGCTAGTAGACATTACAAAATAAATAACATACAGACCTGCCTTAGGAAATCTTATAACTCTTAAACAAATAAACAAATAACCATATTAAGTAAGTAACTTGAAGAATGTGACAAAAATGACACAGATACTTGGGGAGTTCAGAGATCAATCAGTGATAAGTCCCTGGTCTGCTACAGGTGGAAGTACTTCCCAATCACTAGCCTGGCCATCTTATTACTCACTTAATACGTGATCATTTGGTTTTAATCTTATTAGTAAGCTGCTAAATAGCATATATATATATATGAATGGAAATAACTAAGTTTTATGTTATCTGTTGACTTAAGTATTTTTTAATGCTGTTTTCTCGACATTTTTCTGGTTTTAGTTTCAGAACTTTAAAGCTGAATTTAACAATTTGATAACCCCAGTATCACTTAATTCTGCTAGTGATGATGTATTTTGGGGAATCAGAGATTCACTCAGGGACTAATTTTTTTTCTACATGTTCTCTTAACTTTACAAATCTTTCAATAAGGGAACAACGTTGGCTTTGTGCTGCTTTACAAAGTTTTGCTGCAGTTATTCTTTGGGGTTTTTGTTTGGTGTTTGTTTGTTTGTTTGTTGCTACACTGAGCAAAGTAAAAATCCTAAGAGCAGGTTAAAGGCAATAGGTTTTGTCCATACATCTTCCAGAAAAGCAAGAACAATGAGGACTGATTTCTACCTTGCATCTTTTTATCCCATTTACTATCTACTTAATGTTTCTGGTGAAAATCCCAATAACCTAATAGGCATAAATTTTCTAAAATTTAAAAGTACCAGTAGTTACTTCTCAACAAGTAAATGGTTAAACTGGTATGTTCATGCCATGGACTATATACAACTCAAGCCAGATGACTACAGAGAAGTGTGCTGGGTTTAAGACAGAGAGAGAAAGAGAGCTAATCCCCAGAGACTATATGCTATGTGATTTCATTCATATAGCCTCCCTAAAGCAGCAAAGTTACAGAAGTGAAAAACAAATTGATAGTTGCCAGGGATTAGCAGGGAGCAGAATGGGAGGATAGGGAGGGGCTCGAAGGCATCATGAGCATGCCTTGTGGGAATGGATGTTGCATGGTTTTTTGTAGCTATGTCACCATCCTGACTGTGATATCTACTAAGGTTTTTTTTCATATGGTATTATTGGAGAAATTGGATATGCTTAGATCTTTGTGTCCTTTTTTATATTACATCTATAACTTTTCCCAAATAAAGACAATCTTTTAAAATAACCATGTGTGGTAGACACATGATTTGTGACTTACACACCAAATCTTTAATGAAACTAAATAGTTCTACAAAAATAAGTAGTTTATGTAACAACTTGTTTTTGCTGTTGTAGAAACTTGAAACATATGAACAAGAATAGGTTGGACTAAGTAGGAAAATGATAGCTACTGTTACACTTCTGGTGTATTTAGTTCTATTTTTCCACAGTGTGTGTGTGTGGTGTGTCTGTCTGGTTTTTTGTTTGTTTGTTTGTTTGTTTTGTTTTGGTTTTTTTTTTGGTTGTTTTTTTTTACCATAATTAGGAAAATGTAAGTTCCATGGTTTTATGTCTACTTTTTAAATTTTTAAATGAGAATTTTCCTATATCTTTAATTCTTTTCAAAAACTATTTTATTCAGCTGTATATTACATTATGTGAAGTGAACATCCTATAGTTTATATAATTATTAACTATTAAATGTATCTTTCATTTATATAAGTATCCTCATATAGAATCCTTCTATTTTTCTCTTTGAGGTAGATTTTTGTAAATGAAATTAGCAAATTGAAACACATAGCATTTAAGACATATATATATATTGCCAGATTACCTTCTGAGGAATAAACCTGACTCACATTCTTACCAATAAGTGCATTTTAATGGATCAGATCTGAGACAAGAATAGCTAGAAATGTCTCCTAAGGGATATTTTATTTTTGTCTGAAATAGGGCTTTTCAAACTCAACACTGACATTTAGGGTCAGATAACTCTTTGTTGTAGGGTGCTGTCATAGACATTGGAGAATATTCACAACCATCCCTAGCCTCTACCACTACAGGCCAGTAGTCACCCTCCCTCTTGCTGTTGTGACAACCCAAAATATCCCCAGGCACTAAGAAATGCCTCTATGGAGAGCGAACTCCAAACCCTTCCCCCAGCTGAGGACCACTGATCTGAAGACTTTTTTTAAATTTCTTAATTATGTATACAGTGTTCTGCCTGCATGTACACCCGCACACCAGAAGAGGGCACATGATCTCATTATAGATGGTTGTGAGCCACCATGTGGTTGCTGGGAATTGAACTCAGGACCTTTGGAAGAGCAGCCAATGCTCTTCTGAGCCATCTCTGGACCATCTCATCTCTTCAGCCCTGATCTGAAGACTTAACTGCAAATGAAGCATTTATTCTCAGACTTTCTTGGTATATACAAATGTGCTGAAGCCTCATGGGATTCTTTTTTATAGAGTATATGTTTGCATATTTTCTATAGAATAAAACAGGTTGATTGGTTCATTAAGGCTATGTAAATGACTTTAATCATGCTCATATGTATCTTTCATTAGTGATACCGACCGTGTGTACTGAGCATGAGGAAATGTAGGGAAACTGATAACACTTCCAGTCTCCTTGCCCTACAAAATGACTTTCCTTAAAATCTCATATGATATTTGGATGAGTCCATTAGGTGTATGTCTGTTAGTTTTCCAACCCTTTGTCTTTGGGTCTGTGCAAGGGACTGAGACAATGAGAATGACTTTGGTTCTCTTTGTATGTACAATTTTTAAAAGGAATAAATATAGTGAGGTCTTTGCTAACTAAAACTGTATAGAAAAACAATCTTTCCAAGTTTGTTTTAAGCAACAAGAGCTCTCAATTGATGGTCTGGGCCTCTCATCTGTAGTTTTCTGTACTGTCAGTTCCTGATAGAATGCCCTTGTATAAAAGGCCCACCTGTGTTTTATTTCTATAATATCAGAAAATGCCTTAGGGTCCTGGTACCTTTACTGTCTAGCTGATGTATTGCTGCACCCATATTTTCTGTCACAGTAGCCCAGTTATGCTGACAAAGTGCTTTAATTTAAATATACAAGCTTAAGCCCACTTTTACAAACAAGACAGAAATGCTTTGTGTTAATGTTAAATGCTAATGTGTTAATGTTAAGAACACAAACACAACATATTCTGCTCTTAAATTATCCGAAGCACATTTAAGCCTCTTTTCCATAAAAACACAAGCCTTCTGAGTGCCAGTGCTCATTGTTATGAAATGCAAGCTTAAGGTTGCAAATGTTAGTGTAGCATTGACTGTGTACTAACAGTTTCTTTTCCATTGTCCCCACAGGAGCCGTCTCTCAGGTGCTGGACAGCCTAGAAGAGATTCACGCACTTACAGACTGCAGTGAAAAGGACCTAGATTTTCTACACAGTGTTTTCCAGGATCAGCATCTTCACACACTGCTAGATGTAAGTCTTGTCTTTTTATTATTATTGGGGGCGGGGAGCATTCAGTTTTAGCAAACCTTTTAATTCCATAGGGGTTTCCAGATCTCCATCATAGCACACCTTTTTCAGTTGCTTTGGATTTTTGAAAAATGGAGGAAACTAGTACAGATTCCAATCTAAAATAAAACATATCTGTAGTACAAATGTATATCCACGCCAGCAGGAATGGGAAAATTGTATGTACTTATATGTATAAATAATTCATGCATGCAATTGATAAGTGAGTTTTTATAGAGTGCACCACAACCCTAATTTACCATTGTATTTTTATTTCTAGTATAACAAATTATTAATCCTAACAGTGATTTCTTTCTAGTGTTTTGAACATTATTTCTCAAGCATGTATACAGAAGCATTAAAACTAATGAGATACTGTGCAGTGGACTAGATTCACACACTCACATATTTAATATCCATGGGACACTGGGGTTTGTAAATTTGGTATCTTCCTCAAACATAAGAGGGTGTTCTGTTAGTAAATTTGACCACATATTAGAACACAAACAAATGAAAAAAAATCAGAAGCTAAACCAGATGTGCTGTCCCCTGCCTCTTTGGAAGGCAGAGGCAGGCAGATATCTATGAGTTTGTGGCTAGCCTGGTCTACACAGAGAGTTTCAGGACAGCCAAGACTACATAGTGAAACCCTGTCTCAAAAAAGAAAAGACTAAAAACAGAAACTAACCATTCATGCCTGCCTTCAGTGTAGTCTCAGAAAGCTTGGTTGATTTCTACAGTGAAAATCTTCTTGGATGGTTCTGATGGTAATAGTGTATTTCAGTTTTTTTGCAGGAAACTATTTCCCTTAATAAGAGAACAAAATTTGCTTTGGGAGGCCTAGAACTATCTGGGACTGCTTGACTCACCCACTGTAAGATGCAGATTACACTAAAGCAAAATATCCTTCACAGGATATTCTATAAAACATTCTTCTTCTAGGTAATACTGTGGTGGGAAAGGAAAAAGAAAAGATCTTAAAGTGGTTGGTTATTTGATGACTATATAAGTATGGGATTGCGGTGGGCATTATTACATCAAAAGTGCTAAAATGTCCTGAAGGAAAGAAACTTTTTGAGGTTTATTTAAGCATTTCTCAGGTGCAAATTTTTTTTCTTTGAAATCCTATAGAGCCCTATTTTGATGAGGAACACTGAGGAAAGCTAAGCTAGAAATACTGTGTGATGCTTCAACTTCACACTGTATGAAGCTATTGAAACAGTTGCTTCTCTTCACAGATTTGATCAACCTAAACCAATTATCAGTTTTCCTCAGTTAGTTTGTTTTGGGGGGGGGTGGTACATATTTATGAAGCTGTGTGGCTACGTGCGCACATGTAGAGGCCAGACACTGATATGGAGCGTCTTCTTTCTCACTCTCTACCTTACTTTTTGAGACAGGGTCTTTCAATAAACCTGCAGCTTTTTGATTGGTCTAGGCTGACTGGCTAGTGAGCTCCAGAGATCCCCCAACATTGAGATTATAGATTACAGACATAGTGCTGAGCCCAGCTTTTTATGTGGCTTCTGGGGATCTAAACTCAACTGCCAATGCTTACACAGTACATACTTTACTCCCCTGGTTTGGCTTTTTATATAGTGCATATATGAATGAGAGCTCACTGATTACTATTACAAACAGTTCGAAATTATGGATGTAGGGGTTGGAGAGAACACTTGCTGTTCTTCCAGAGGACCCAAGTTCAGTTCCCACCACCCACATCAGACAGCTCACAGCTGCCTATAATTCTAGCTCTAGGAGAGCCAACACCCTTGATGACCTGAGATCAATCACTGGACCCCACATGGTAGAAGAAGATAATCAACTTATAAGTTACAACTCTAATTTTAAAATGTAAGGGACCTAGAGAATACAGTTTAGACACAGGCATGGATTGGGCATGTAACTCATGGTAGAACACGTGCTTAGCATATAGAAGATCCTTGGTTTGCTCCTCAGCACTCAAGAGACTAAGGCAGGATGATCACAAGTTAGAAGCTTTTAAAACTTTGCCGTTTCTCCTCCTTCCACGACTTCATAATTTTTATAAATTTAGCGTTCAAGAGGAATCATTAGAATTTGGAGAAAACAACATGAGCGAACCAGGAGAGCATTAGGATTAGTGTAATAAGCCGAACACAGAAAGACAGCTGCAGTGTAATGTCACTTCTCTGTGGGACATAGCACTGACCTCGCAGAAACTAGATAGAAAGAATCATCATTACGAGGGGTGGGTGGGGAAGCTGGTGGTGGGAAAATGAGAAGAGGTTGACCAGTGATCCAAAACGTCCAGGAAGAATGTGGTCTGGTGATCTCCTGCGCAGGGTGGCTTTGATTAACAATATACCAAATAGTTCCCAGTAGCCACAGAGAGGATTTTAAGTATTCTTATCACAAAGAAATGATAAAGGTGTGAGGTGACAGATATACTAACTACCTTAATTTGATTGCTACCCCAAATCTGCATATTAATATATCACACGATTCTGTACAGCTAATGTTCAGTTATTCTCTCTTGATTTACAAAAGGAGGAAAATCATATTCATCTCTCTCTGCCACACTTTGACAACTAGGCTTCAAAACTTCACTCACTGGCTGTCATACCTCTGACTGCTAGCACATACTGCCATTTCAGTAGCAAATGTGATGCCCCTACCTAATTAATATGATTCTGTAGGAAATATTAAGCTTGTTCTCTAAAACTGTAACCAGTAAATGAATTAATAAGACCACAAAGCTATCTATAGGAGTAGCTTAATTTAGATGTTTATTTATAAGTAGACTTTGTAATAGATGAAGTAGTGTTTTGTTTCTGTTTTTTTTAATTTTTATTTTTATTATTAGTTACATTTTATTAACTCTGTATCCCAGCTATATCCCGCTCCCTCATTCCCTCCCAATCCCACCCTCCCTCCCTCATCTCCTCCCTGCCCCTTTCCAAGTCCACTGCTTGGGGAGGACCTCTTTCCCTTTCATCTGACCCTGTTTTATGTTTTGTTTTTAAGTAATATTTGAAAATATTGCATTAGAAATAAGCAAGTGCTTATTTCATATGGTTGACATCTTTATTGTAGTGCTTTACTGCTTAGAGAGAGCCTGGAAAACTACAACTCTAGAGTTCCTGTTTTGTATTTTTGAGGTGACATTAATTTAGTAAACATGGTTGGAATAGAATATTTTAGAACTCAGAAGTTTCCTAAAGGAAAAATGAAGTAGAACTTTTACAGTAACCTGCTGTTACTTGGAGTCTCATCTTGGATTCTGAGAAATGAGTTACATCAGTTTGACTGTGTAAATACATTGCCAGTCAGGAAATGCCAAACTGTTTCTCACAAATTTTGAACTTAAATGTCTGGAATGAGAAGCCTTAAAACTTAAAAGAACTTAAAAGTCTGGAATGGTGGACCTTGGGAGGCAGACCACCAATCTGGTCTTAAAAGAGCCCTCAGCTTTGGCAGGTACAAGCTACCTGTTGATCATCTTTGTACACTCCAGCACTTCCTGGGGCTGAAGATCAAAGTGCTTTTTCCTTTGGGAGTCACTTATTCAACCATTTCTAAGTGGCTAGGCAAAAACTTCCTTGTGTAATGGGAAAATACTACAAGAAACAAGATACCCGAGAGCTAGATTAGCTGTTTCTTTTTAATGTAGATATTTCAGTATACCATTAAGCTTGATATGGTCACCTCTTAAGAAGCAACAAGAAACAGATACAAATAGCAATAAAGTAAGGGTTGTTCACTCCTTTTTATGTACTTTTTAAGAGTTAGCATATACTGATTGTACAGAATAATCAGTTCCATGTGACATTTTATGCACTGATTGTTTAATTCCCCATTATCCTCTATTGTCCTGCAACCTTCGTCCATTGTTCCCATTCCTCTCCCCACATAGCCTCCTTCTACATTTGTGCCTTTTTTTTAAGTCTAGATTCTGCATGTAAGAGAAAAAAATATTATTCTTCCTCAACTTATTTCACTTAACTTGGCACTCGCCATTCTAATCCTTTTTCCTGTGTATGACATGATTTTAAAACCTTCTTGTTTTAGAGAATATTTATATACTACACTTTATTTATTCATTCAAAGGATCATCCACTCTTAAGCACTCCTATTCATCATTATACTGGAGGTTCTAAGCAATTCAGTAAGGCAAGAAAAAAATTCAAAGCATGAAGGCTGGAAACAAAAATGTAAAATTCTCCTCTCAATATCGTCCACTGTCAATATTGTATGGTAAATATGTGTTAGGAAAAACTAGCTTCTCAAAATGCTAATCACAGAGATTTCTGCCTTGGTTCTTTCTTCACATAATTTCTTTTTCTGGATCCCAAGTTGGTTCCAATATTCTCTATCATTGTTAAAGGAATTCTCTATCATTCACTATCTTCTGTGAATGTACTATGGACTACAGGGGGTTTATATGGTTCCTGTTTGTTTGGGAGGATTTTTTTTTAAGTGACTCTACAATAATAAAATGATACTATAATACTAAATCAACTTGCTCCAGTGTCAATGTTGCCCTCTCTGGGTGACATTCTCTTTTTTTGTATTTTACTTTCTCAGAAGGCAAAGGAATCTTCCAAGAGCCTCTGAAATGCAGTAAGCACTGGTTCTTGATGCGAGTCTCAAGGAAAAGAGGGATCCTTCTGCAGAAAGGAATGTGGTGTGCTCCATTACAGAATGAGAGGTGGCCTGTAATATTAGCAGTCCAACAACACAACCGCTTTCTTCTCATGAAACCCCTTCTACCAGACTTGGTGTTTGTTTCTTTTTAAATTCATTTTTGCTACTTACTATGGTTTCCAAGAGTAATCCTAACGGAACATTAATATTTTTTTTAAGCAGCAAAAAGAGAGTAAAATTTTCTTTAGTGCAAATATTTTTAGCTATAACCATAGATATGGAAAAACAATGGAGCTAGCAAATGAGGTTTTAACACTTTAAAAAGTGTAAATATCACA